AAATAGTGCCTGAAACGCGTAGCAGCGGTGATTTGAAATTTGAGAGTTACTGTTACAAGCTGACATTCTTTTTACATGACTACCCGCCAGGGTTTTTGCAGTGCAGGGTAATTTGTTCGCGAGTGTTTTTAGCAGCGACTGAGTAAATTAGTTAGGGTGGTTTTTTTTTTTGGTTTGTTTGTTTCTGTTTTTGTGTCCCCCCCCTCCCCCCACTTTTTTGGTCTAAACAACTAACACAGCACCTTTTGCTGTGTTATCAATAATGAGATACACATAACAGACTTCTCACTTTTTTTTCCTTGCCAAAAATACTAACTGTGGAAGAATGACGTTTTAAAGATGTGTATTTTAGTGAGAGGGTGTATTTTTTGTTCCCTGCTCCTTCTCTGGATCATGCCCAAATTTATTTCTTTGCCTGCTTTAATTACTTTCCACTCTGTAGCCCCGTAAAGCATTACAGTTGTCAAACCTAGCTCGCTATTTTTTTTCTCCCAAAATAGAAAGCTATTCTCTTTGCCTGTGCAAGTGCAGTTAAAATTTTCCTCTGTTAGAAACCGCTAATTTTCCTCTAAAGATCACTCTTTTAAAAAAAGTATCTTCTGTATTCTTTCCTCTGATCTGTCTTAACTTTCTTTTTCTTTTCTCCTAGTTCTCCTTGGAATTTTCTACCACCTGTAGCATTGTGTACGTAGTGATTCATCTTTAGAGAGTAAAAAGGCGTCAGCTGTAGGTATAGATATCTTCTTTGGCAATGGGAAAACCTGTGTGAGAGGAATGGGAGTGAAAACAGTTAAAAAAACCCGTTCTCTTTACCCATGGAAGCAGTTCTATTAATTCGATCGGATTGCTTGTCTGGGTAGAGCAAGCAGGACTGGACCCTATCAGTTACATTAAATGAATCCAGTTAGCCTGGTAATTGAATATACTGGAGACTGGATTTCTATGTTTCATCAAAGTTCTCTGTTATTTCAGGTGAAATAAAATATTTTAATACTTTCCGTATTTGTTAAAAATGGATGGTTGTCTCCTTAAGCTGCATGATGCAATACCAGTCATAACACATGGCAGGGTTTTGCCTTCACCCACCCCCTCCAATCTGCTGTTTTTTAATTGCTTTTTAAAAGCATTGCTTTTAAAAATTGCTTTTTAAAATTACTAATCAGCTAGCTTCGAGGGCGACTGCAGGTGTCAGAGGAGCAGGGCTGGCTTACCCGCCTTCAGGAACTGACACTGAGTGCGCCTGACGGTGCAGGGAGCTAAGCCTCTGCGACAGGGTGACTCCAGTAGGAGCTGAGGGTGTTCAGGGTTCGTAGCAAGTGCTTGGTGCCTGGTGGGGACTGGGTCCAAAGAGAGCCCTTTTACAAACACAGCTTTAATATTTTTCTTATGTGGCTTTGTTCCTAACGCCGCTTTGTTGTTTTAGGTTACCGTCCCATTCCAACAGACCCTTACCTGGGAGGGAATTCACCCTTGCCACCCCCCGTAAGTGACAGGATGAGAAAGAGACGGGCTTTTGCTGATAAAGAGCTGGAGAACATTATGCTAGAGAGAGAGTATAAAGAGAGAGAGATGATGGAAGCTACACAAGCAGCTGCCCTTTTCCTCCCTAACCGCATGGTGCATGGAGCAGAATACAACTCGTATAAACCAGCCTTCAACACTACTCAAGCTGATACTCCAAACAAGGAGTTTTGCGGTTTCTTACCAACCTGCCTTGATCTAACCATGCAATATTCAGGATCCAGCAACATGGAACTAATTTCTTCAAATGTCAGTGTAGCTACTACCTACAGGCAGTATCCCCTGTCTTCCAGGTTCTTAGTGTGGCCAAAATGTGGCCCCATTAGCGATGCTCTCCTCTACCAGCAGTGCCTGTTAAATGCTGCTGCTGTCCAAACTCTCAAACCTGGGGCAGGTTGGGATGCCAAGGTCTCACAAAGTCATGACTGTCCAAACGCTGAGCATGACATCGTGTCTCCAAAACTGGAAAATTCACTCATTCTGACCCATGCGCAGGACATTCAGCAGTCATGTAGTGAGATACTGTGCCTTCCTCAGGAAGCTCGTGAGAGGTCAGCTTTCTCTCCTCCAAAAAGAACTTTCTCTCAGATTTCTGACGAGGATTCTCTGGCTCCTCAGGAACAGGTATTAAGCAAGATCAGCAAAGACAGTACCAAGCCCCCTCCACTGCTCAAATACAATCCATTTCAGTCACTGTTCCAGCAGACGTTTCCTGACAGATCAGGAGCAGAGTTGAGAACATCATTTGTGAAAGAGACTTTTGAAGACGCTTCTAAGAAATACAGAGAGTGCACCATTAAAGAGAACCCAAAATACAAGTTTACAATTGACAAATGCACAAAAGACTTCTTTGGGGCCAAACAGGCAGCAACAAAACTTTCAGCAACTGAGCCACTGTCATTTTCAGTTGAATCCATCCTTAAATGACCTTCTTCTGCAGTTGCCAATGTCTCCCAATGAATAAACTATACCTTCAGTGTAGAGAGTTTGTATGCTTTGACTTCTGCAGAATTGCTACTGCCTGCCTTGTTTCTTAAAAGATCTGTAAAGAGGAATTTCTGCTGTAAACGGTAATTCTTTCTTTTATCTCAGAATGATGTACATAAATATGCATGTTTTCTCTTCTGAAAAAATAAATATATTTAATTTTTTAAAATTAAAATTGCATGTACAGATTGTAAAGTCTTGTTATTTTAAGCGGCAATTCAAAACGTTCAATAAAATGAGATAACTTACAAGCACAGACGTATTCCTGATCTCTGTTTTGTCTCTGATATCTCAGAGGCAAGTACTGCCCTACTTTCAGAATATACTTATGTCTGCTATTATCAATGTACTTACTAGTTATCTTGGCAGGGTAAGTGGTTATTTCTGCTCTGAACTTCCAGTAACCGAGAGGAGAGGTAGCAATGGTGCAAGTAAGCTAGTGTGAATTCATGAGACTTTTTTTACTAACTTAAGTGAGGTTTGGATCAGATTCCAAATGCTTTTCTTATTCTGAAGGGAGAGTGCACACTAACGTAAAAGACTGGTTTATTCCACATCGCTCTGTAAGAGCTTCTGTTCCTAAAGCAGACGAGTTGCTGGACTGGGTTTGAGGAGAATGGCTCTGGTGAGATTTTGGATAAAAAGGCAGCATTTTTTAAACCTCAGGTTTTGAATAAGAAGTCAGGTTTTTTTTTTTTTTTTTTTTAATGTCCATCTGACTTTACTCTGGATTTCCACCCCTTAGAATATTTCCCTTCTGAAAACATTTCACTGTTTACTAGCAAGAGCCAGAGATTCTTCTGTTGTGGTAATTGAAATGACCTTTAGGCTGTAAAAATTACGCACAGAATTATCACTGCTAATGAGAAATCAAGTCATGAACTCTCAGTTTTGTAATTCTACGCCCTATTGCAGGGATAGCAGAAATACAGGAGATGAATCAGCAGAATTTACATGGGAACCTGAAATGCCCTCAAGGTTGTAGAAAAAGGTATTACCAGCTCTCATTCTGACTGAGCTCCCAGCTTTCTAAATTCATCGATTTTCAAGTTTTTCTGTATACGTTACTGTTAGCACAACTAGTGCTAACTGGTAATTCCTTGTTTACCTTCCTTCCTTAACATGTTTATCTGGCAGACACTGCCCAGCCAGTTGAAAGGAGCTGTGGTTTGTTCTTGATTTTTATTATTTTCCAACAGCAATTTCTGTTTGGTACTTGTAAGCAGCATGTAATATTTTCTGATTTTATCACAGTCGCCACACAGGTTAAATGCTCATTTGCCATGAATAAATCTGAGCCTGTGAATTTCTGATTCCGTACCTATCTCTGGAAGTGTTCACTGCTTCTGTTGGAAGCAGTGTTGCTGCATGGCAGGACCCTTTTCAAGGATGGGAGGAGTCATTTGTTGTGGATGCTTTTCTAAGCCACTTTGTCAAAGCAACAAACACATTGGAGAAAATGCATTTTAAGTAATGTGTAAATTTTTACAGAACACATCTTACAAAGCACATAAAGATTTGAGGTCAGGAATGCAAACAAATTTGGAGTAACTTAAAAGCATCTTGGGTAATAACTAAAGCTTCGCTTTTCAAAAGCATTCATACTAACCAGATTTTGCCTAGCTGAAAATACCTTTCAAAAGCAGTGAGATGTTTTTTGTTTTTTCAGACTGTGTCCTTTACCCAGTTGCCGTTAGGGGGAGTTTTAACTTATTTGAGAGCTGAACGTGCTTCTTGATCAGTTTAACGGTCAGACCAAGGTAAGCAGCTTTTACCCGGAGTAAAAGGAGTGAAATTCTTCACATTTCATATTTGTTTGCTTTCACCATAGCTTCCTTCTTTGGCTTAGTCGAACATTAAATGCTAACAAAGGGGTTTAATTTAAGCAGGGTTTCATTTGTTATTAAAAATATGATTTGTTTTGTTTTTTGAGCTGCTGGCGTAAACTAGGATGACAGATGAAAGAGAGTTCAGCAATCTACGTAATGAACTAATATTGGATACTGGACTTAGTCCTGCATAAATATTTTTTTGCTTCACAACATGTGCATCTAACATTGTTCAATTTCACATCTGAAATACTTTTCCAGTAAGTCACGTGTCTTTATTTGTCACTTCAAAAAAGACCAGAATACCAAAACCCTCCAACGGACTGGTACATCTTGACCTTTTAAAGAACCAGTTGAACTGAACAAATTCAGACCCTGAAGATGTATCAAACACTGATTCATATATAAAAATACACACACACACTTATACACATAATTTATGTATGTTCCAGGTAATTTTGTTCAAATGCCAATAATCAGAAGAGGAGTGACATCTCTACTACTATTTATAAAAATGTGACCCTTCAGGGGTCTTGGACAAAGAACTGGGACAAATGATTTCCTTCGCTTAACAGATTAGTCTCACTGGAGTCAGCGTTTGGCCCCCCTGTCTTGCTGTCACTTGCTCATGTGTTGCTTCAGTTCCATTAGTTATTTCTCCCCACGCTTGGTTTCCTTTCATTTCATAGACCCCGGACCTTTCCTCTCATGCCTCTTGAAAACTTGTTGTACCCAGACCGGGTTTTTCTTTCCTTTTTACAAGTGTGTATAAAGTCTATCATTCATGGAGAGGATGATTAATAGCTTGAGCAAGGCAGCATAGACACAGACTGCATGTGATTTTTCTCACGCACCCTTGCAGTCAATGTCCAGCACTCTCGCCTCTTTCAGCTGTGCACTTCCCTAGAGCAGAAGTAACAGCTTGTCTGCGTGTGCTGGTGTGGCTGTTACAAGCTCACGGGGCAGAGGAGCTCTGAAACTGTCCAGCACTTGCTGCTAGGCAGTGTCTCCCTGGCAATAAGTCAGCTGTTACAGCATCCTGTGCTCCTCCATGCTTCCTGCTTCTCATATAACAATTTTTGTAGCATTTGTTGGGTGTGTGGATGCCTGTGTCTCCTGTACAGCGTGACTAGTTTGCTCTGAGTGTGAGATGCACCTTTATGCTGTGCTCATGGACGTCAGGTTGCATTACCCTTCTGATCCCCTTCTGACCTCAGTTTTTCTCATGTGAGGGTGGAACATGCTTGTTGGGAAGCTCAGCTTTAGGGTTGTGACAATAAGGTCAAGAACCTATGCTGGCTGTGAAACACCAAAACAGTCATGGAGAGGAATACAAAGAACAATAGTTCACTTGGTCTGCAAACACGGTAAGCCTGGCTGATGGCATTGTCAGAGACAGTCAGCTACTTGTTGGAACGGCAAGCCCTTCACGTGCATGTGGTGACAAAGAATTTTATAGGTGTATAGAGGTGTATCGGTGTACAGAACCAGCGGAACTGGGGATTGATCTTAGCCCAGACAGTACCTGGCTTACTACATGGCCTGGTGGCAAGGAGTGGGCAGTGGTGGGTTCACTTCGAGAAGGGGTAGGTTACTGACAGCTGCTGTAGTGACAGTTCTTCTCCCTCATGTGGCATAGGAGAATCAAGATGAGGGCTGTGGTCGTGGGGGGCTTCCCTGCTCAAAGGGAAGGGGGGCTGGCTTGCTTTCAGGTGCTGGCTTTCTGGGGGTGACTCCACTGGCGCTGCTGGCTTGCCACAAAGCCTGCCTTAAAACTGTCATTTGTCTTTGATGTCTTTGAATCAGCGCATCGAGCTGCTGACCTTGAGGTAGGTCAGGGCACAGAGTTAGGTGAGATGGCTGGGGAATCGGACATGAGTCATTCCACTGAAGTCAAGACTGAAATGCCTGCGAAATCACTAGCTGAATGCGTTGCATTCTGGCCTGAGGACAAGACCTAGCCCTGCGAGTCTGCTCGTCCTTCTGCTGTGACAAAGACCTCTCTGAATTTTGCTGTTCGAGCTTCTCGCCTCCTTGGGATGGTAAAAGCCAGTGGCTTTTTGGCCAGCTGTGAAGGCGCAAGTCCCTGTTGAGTTACTGGCTCTGAAGGCTGAACAGTAACCAGCTCCTACTTGCCATTGTTCTGGAATTAGAGAATTTGACACTCTCTCCGTTTCTTTATTTTAGGTGTAGAACAGGGAGGTATGTTCTCTTTTTCATTTGGCAGCTTGTTTGCACGATGAAGCCTTTCAGTTCCTGTACCAAACACTTTCCATTCAGCTGACCTTGATGTGAAAGCTGGCACCAGGGGTCATTGCCTGTGATGGATGAGATTCTCACTGTATCACTAAGTTCCTTCTCTGAATTTCTGCCAGCTGAATGGCATAAAGTACACATAATGCCTCCTTTAACTCAGATAGTAGTGATCAGCCATTTTCTGTTTGCTTGCATTGAAACCAAGACAAACTGTGGCTTATACAAGAAGGGCTGCTGGGGAAGCATGTGTGGGCAGGTGGAAACCAGTGGTAGGAATGTCAGCATGACTGGGGACACAGGAATCAGTTGGTGTTTTATGGGAAGAAGCATCTCTCTTCATAAATGACGAAAACATGCAAGCTGGAAAAAAGACCCAAATTGTCCAACATAGCCAGTTCCCTCTCTTCCTGTTCCCAGCACCAGCTTTTTTGAACAAGATACAATGGTTTTTCTGTCCAGAAGCAGGTCAGTAATCAGGTCCATGGGCTACAGCCATCCCCTTTGTTGTCATTTGGAGTTGTTAGCCCAAAACCAGTGAGCCCTGCTGTTGTTGTGACCTGTCACCTGCAGTATGGGGACTGATATTGGTGCTGCTCCAAGGTCACCAGCTGAAGATGGGAATCTACCCCTCACCCTCAACTCAGCACTCCAAACTTTGCATTAATGTGAGGGCATTTGGGTCTCTGGAGTGAAAACTCACTGTATAACCCGTGTCTTTGCACAGGACACACTCTTGTTTTTGCTGGCAAATAAGAGCTTCCACAGTGACTAGCGGAAAAGAGAAAGGAATGATTGTTCGTATTCAGTTATGTTGAGATAGTATGTTGGAGGAACTGGAAGAGCGAAAAATCATTT